AGCTGAACACGCAGATAAACAATAGTGTCTGTTGTAAGACACAGAGCTGAACACGCAGATAAACAATAGTGTTTGTTGTAAGACACAGAGCTGAACACACAGATAAACAATAGTGTCTGTTGTAAGACACAGAGCTGAACACACAGATAAACAACAGTGTTTGTTGTAAGACACAGAGCTGAACACGCAGATAAACAACAGTGTCTGTTGTAAGACACAGAGCTGAACACGCAGATAAACAGTAGTGTCTGTTGTAAGACACAGAGCTGAACACACAGATAAACAACAGTGTTTGTTGTAAGACACAGAGCTGAACACGCAGATAAACAACAGTGTCTGTTCTAAGACACAGAGCTGAACACACAGATAAACAGTAGTGTCTGTTGTAAGACACAGAGTTGAACATGCAGATAAACAACAGTGTCTGTTGTGAGACACAGAGCGGAACACACAGATGAACAATAGTGTTTGTTGTAAGACACAGAGCTGAACACGCACATAAACAACAGTGTCTGTTGTAAGACACAGAGCTGAACACGCAGATAAACAATAGTGTCTGTTGTAAGACATAGAGCTGAACAATCCAGGTTGAAACTAATACACCATCAATAAAATATCAAGTATCAACACTTAATAAAAATAACACACAACTCTGAGTGATGGTATGTTTTTAAAACATGTTCTTTAATACAGCTGGCATGTTCTTCAATACAATTGTATTACAATACAGCTGGTATGTTTTTTAAACATGTTCTCTGAGAAAATAACAATGAACATCCTACTGGAGATGTGCGAGAAAATAAACTGATCTATGTTACATCTTCTATTACGTCTTTACTATACAGTTTACTATCTTCTGTTACATCTTTACTATACAGTTCACTATCTTCTGTTACATCTTTACTATACAGTTCACTATCTTCTGTTACATCTTTACTATACAGTTCACTATCTTCTGTTACATCTTTACTATACATTTACTATCTTCTGTTACATCTTTACTATACAGTTCACTATCTTCTGTTACATCTTTACTATACAGTTCACTATCTTCTGTTACATCTTTACTATACAGTTCACTATCTTCTGTTACATCTTTACTATACAGTTCACTATCTTCTGTTACATCTTTACTATACAGTTCACTATCTTCTGTTACATCTTTATTATACAGTTCACTATTTTCTGTTACATCTTTATTATACTGTTCACTATCTTCTGTTACATCTTTATTATACAGTTCACTATCTTCTGTTACATCTTTACTATACAGTTCACTATCTTCTGTTACATCTTTACTATACAGTTCACTAGCTTCTGTTACATCTTTATCATAATTATTTGTTAAACAAGATTTATATTAACAACTGGACTTGTGATCTCCGGTAAGACTTGGTATTAAATTATATTTTCATTACAAAGTAAAACACACCAGGCTATAGATTGTCATATTGAAAATACAAACTACACAGTGAGAATTTCACATTTTGCTACAAAGAATATAAAATGGTATAAAAGTACAAAATGTTTACAATAAATGAAATTCAACGTCATCAGTTGGTCTTGACAAAATGACCATTACTAACGCTTGATAAAAATGTGCTTACAAAATATCATTTTTACAGCCACGTGTCACTACAAAATTTTGTTTTTCCTACTTCAAAAATGTACCCTACTTTTTATACCAAATTATAAGTACATTTCACAAATTAGAGAAGTAACAGAAACAACATTGAATAAAAAAAAACGTTTTTTAACTTTAAAAGCTAGGTTCCAGAGTCGAATGTGAAGTAAAAGAACAGTACGTTAGTTAACTTGACCGGTATTCTTGAGTACCTGGGCATATTCAGGCTCATTCTGCATTAAATGTAGTGGTATTCTATCTCCCGAGAATTCCTGAAACGGGTGTTTATCGACGACTAGGTTTACTCTTCCAGTATGTTCTTTATGTATGCACGTGATAACTCTGGAATACTCAACTCTCCTGGTTCCATACAAGCTTTTCTGCTTGACGCCATTTTCTGTAGTATTCTTAAATGCCAGTTCTGAGTAATTACCAGTGGACTTGTTACTTAGATTGACATGGACGTGTCTGTTTTTAGGATTTAAACTGCTCAATCTTTCGCCAAACGAATCTCTTTTCAGCTGAGACCTTGGATCTGCTTTGGTTACAAGCAAATTTTGTGTTGGATTGTTAGAAAGATCGCGAGTGTCTGTTATTAAACAAGTTTTCATAGCTTTTCCACCCTGCAGTGTTGAGGTGTCTTCCAGAACAGCATAAACAGGCTCCTCACGTGACAGGTCCTCTTGTAAGTGCTCTGGAATGGACCACAGTTCTTTGTCTCCTGGTTCGTCATATATAGGCTCATCATCCAAACTGTTAGGTTCATCATACACATGTTCCTCTTCATCTGTTTCTTTACTTGGCACTGCCACGAAATTCGGTTGTTTGGATTTCCTAGGAGGTTTATTTGGAGGTCCTAAAGGTCTAGGTCCTTTAATATTTGGGTCTTCGTTTTCAGATCCAATGGTGACTAGTTTGGAAGTGACTTTATGAGGGTTAGTTTTCTCGATGTTAATCACACTTGGTTTCTGTCTCGAAGAAAGAGCTTGAAGGTTTTCGCTACTTGTTGACATCTTACTTTCCACCTTATCGGATTCCCTATTAACGTTCCCCAAGAGGTTTAGCTCGCTTTGAGATACTTTCAGCACGTTAACGTAAGCTGCAACACTCTGGAATATGAGAAGGCCATCTTTTGTTTGAAAAGTAAACAAACCTTCTCCAGAAACACACTTCCGTCCAGCTTCGAAGGAAAACTTGGAAGAACTACTCCCATAGCGACGAATGTGTCTGTATGGCCAAGTGAAAAGAATGTGACCCACCTGTCCTTGTGCACTCTCTTCTGCTAAAGAAATGTTTACAGAAGTAACAACTAAGTTGTATCTGTTTGACAGTCCACATCGGTTTGAAGCATCTGTTTCCACCACCTTAACTTCATACAGCTCAGCTGTAAAACAGAGACAAACGGTTTGTTTCACAGGTTAATTAGGATAGGGAAGTGCTTTAATTGATACCAAAATCTGATATTCTGTGAGAACTGGAGTGTTTAGTTTTACAACAAAGTTGATCCACTACAAAACGTATTCAGAGCTGGTAACTCTATTATTTTCAACACATGAGAAACTGAAAGAGTATTGCTGACAGTTGAGTTAGTGGCTATTTGAATGAACTTATAACATAAATGCAGAATGGCTTAAATAATTCGTTAGTTTTTCTACAAGAGTCTATCCAAAGTGTTTGTTTAGTTTGTCTACAAGAGTCTATCCAAAGTGTTTGTTTAGTTTGTCTACAAGAGTCTATCCAAAGTGTTTGTTTAGTTTGTCTACAAGAACCTATCCAAAGTGTCTGTTTAGTTTGTCTACAAGAGTCTATCGAAAGTGTTTGTTTAGTTTGTCTACAAGAGTCTATCCAAAGTGTTTGTTTAGTCTGTCTACAAGAGTCTATCCAAAGTGTTCGTTTAGTTTGTCTACAAGGGTCTATCCGAAGTGTTTGTTTAGTTTGTCTACAAGGGTCTATCCAAAGTGTTTGTTTAGTTTGTCTACAAGGGTCTATCCAAAGTGTTTGTTTAGTTTGTCTACAAGAGTCTATCCAAAGTGTTTGTTTAGTTTGTCTACAAGAGTCTATCCAAAGTGTTTGTTTAGTTTGTCTACAAGAGTCTATCCAAAGTGTTTGTTTAGTTTGTCTACAAGAGTCTATCCAAAGTGTTTGTTTAGTTTGTCTACAAGAGTCTATCCAAAGTGTTTGTTTAGTTTGTCTACAAGAGTCTATCCAAAGTGTTTGTTTAGTTTGTCTACAAGAGTCTATCCAAAGTGTTTGTTTTAACATACGGTTTAAAGAGAGCTATACTTTTCTCGGCAACCTGTTAAACCATTATCAGGAAGGGCTTGAAGAACATGAGATCTAATCAACAACAAAAAAATAAAGCTAGAAGAACATGGGATCTACTCAACAACAAGCAGGTAAAGCTAGACGAACATCAGATCTAGTCAACAAAAAGAAGGTAAAGCTAGAAGAACATGGGATCTACTCAACAACAAGCAGGTAAAGCTAGAAGAACATGGGTTCTCCTAGCTTTGCCTTCTTGTTGTTGAGTAGATCATGGGATCTACTCAACAACAAGAAGGTAAAGCTAGAAGAACATGGGATCTACTCAACAACAAGAAGGCAAAGCTAGGAGAACATGGGATCTACTCAACAACAAGAAGGCAAAGCTAGGAGAACATGGGATCCACTCAACAACAAAAAGGCAAAGCTAGAAGAACATGGGATATACTCAACAACAAGCATGTAAATCTAGAAGAACATGGGATCTACTCAACAACAAGAAGGCAAAGCTAGAAGAACATGGGATCTACTCAACAACAAGCAGGTAAAGCTAGTATAACATGGGATCTACTCAACAACAAGCAGGTAAAGCTAGTATAACATGGGATCTACTCAACAACAAGAAGGCAAAGCTAGTATAACATGGGATCTACTCAACAACAAGAAGGTAAAGCTAGAAGAACATGGGATCTATTACACAACAAGAAAGCAAAGCTAGGAAAACATGGGATCTACTCAACAACAAGAAGGCAAAGCTAGTATAACATGGGATCTACTCACGAGCATTCATAGAAATATACAGAAGGTTTTCTTCCTGGTGTACAGCAGCACTCTCTTCTGAACAAACTTGCTGGCATCTAGCTATTGGAAAACCAAAAGCCACACTCTGCAAGCAAGCCATCCATTGGGTCATGTCTTCGAAAGATTCTGCTGAAAATACAATGGTCTGATATTTTGTCCTGATCTGTCCAAAAGAAGAAGAAAATTTTCAGTATAAGTAAAATTAATAATAGAAAAACTACAAAAACGATACATTTTGATTGTTTTATTTATGTATGGTGAAGTAGAAACTTTAAATTGACACTATAGATGTTTCATAAAACACAAAACCCGAGTTTTAAGTTTTAATTACAACGATTTATAACAGTTATGTAGGTAGGATTACCTCAAAAACATTTGGTTGTTGCTTCTGTGGAGAAAAAGTAATTTTCACGCAGTCAGTAAGAATGATAATTTTACTTGGAGCCTGTCGCAAAAACTGGTCCATTGTTTCAAAGTTTTCAAGCCTTTCGACGCCATGCTTGCTTGAATTGTACAGGGCATAAAAACCTTTCTTCCACGTCTTCTGCATGGTGGAAAGAATGTATGATAAAATAAGTCATTTTTAATGATATTTTATTTTAGAAAAACATTATTAATAAATGGTGACGAAGCTGATTTACGTCACTATTTAGTCCTACTTCCTATCTGTATGTGCACCACCTAAATGAAACCTTTTCCAACATTATAGTAGAGATGCAGCGATACCACTTCTTCCAAGATTCAATACTTCCATCTATTGAGAATATGTTCAAGTTTAACCAATTCAATATTTCCATCTATTGACAATATGTTCAAGATTAACCAATTCAATATTTCCATCTATTGACAATATGTTCAAGATTAACCAATTCAATATTTCCATCTATTGACAATATGTCCAGGATTAACCAATTCATTTTCCGCGTTGGTTTACTTTCAGCAACATTAAAAAGTTATATTTTCGAAATTTATAAATTAATTCATTTCCCTTTGATCCCCACCCCCCGAGGCTCAGAAGTAAGCCTGTAGGCTTACGATGCTAGAAATCAGGTTTCGATACCAGTGGTCTGCAGAGCATAAATAGTCCATTGTGTAGCTTTTTGCTTCCAAACCAACAACCAACAACATGCCCCCCGTGAGACAATGATAAATTTATGGACTTACAATGTGGCTGTGCTCCAAAAGAAACGTACAAACCAACCCGCTATCGGTATCCTTGGTCAGTCGAAATATTTGCCGAAAGTACCACTATCGCCTCCAATACCCATATAAAAATCGGCGCATCTCTACGTTTAAACCTCATCTTTCAAAAAATAAAACATAAAATTACCATATTACTTAATTAAATAACGTACTTCAGCTTGTGATTAATAGAAGCGTAAAATAGTGAAACATAATTTATGTTCTCGAGTGTCTCAATTATTTATAACCGCCATATTATAAACTGGAATTTATCTGCTGTTAATTAGGATGGTTGAAAACTATAATTAATAGGATATTCTTTACTTGTTTTTTTTAATTTATTTATTTTCATGCTAGTGATATTTAATGTTAATAAATTTAACTGTTAAGTTGCTTAGATTATTCTTTAAATATTTCATATATTTAGTGTCTCAAAATTAAAAAGATCTTTTCACACGTATAAACACAAGTAGGCTTAAGTAATGTCGCACACACACCTTTAACAGACTTATACCTTGTGGTGGAGTCCAAAGATACCCGGTTCGCAAAGTTTCCATTTTCAATATTTAAAAAAACACGTGCACATAAAGTATCATTATTAGGTCATTCTCCCTAATCGAACGTACATCATATTCAATCAATACAACGTAACAGTTCTGCTTTAAATGTCGTAGACAAATGACGATAATCACATGTTACCAAGCAATTTATTATAGAGTGTTTCTGAACTCTACGTTGCCAGGAGTACGTTGCACATCGCGCCATCTGTTGTACAATGTTTGTCTTTAGCTCGTAATGATAAAATACCGCGCCGATATTAACTAGCATAAATTAAAGATAATTGGGCTTCCGTGTGTTTGAAGCATTCCTCGAGCTCAGAAACGTCAAGTTGCAGGCCTACCTGCCTACAAATTCCCGGGGCTCGGGGCAAAATGACCTGTGGGTTCCCTTTGTAAGGCTTTGTTCCACCATCCACATTACATGCTACCCCTCGTTTATTGATATTAACTTCAGTTAGAAAAATATATGGATGTATAGCGAAAGTAAAAATCAACTTTGTGAAGAATACGAAGAAAGAAAAGAACGGAAACAGAGCGAATACTCAGAAAACATGAAGGCGTATGAAGGAACTGAGAAAGAGCTGATGATTTAGAAACCTTCATAAGCATGAAGGAACTGAGGAAGAGCTGATATTTTTTGAAACCTTCATAAGCATGAAGGAACTGAGAAAGAGCTGATGATTTAGAAACCTTCATAAGCATGAAGGAACTGAGGAAGAGCTGATATTTTTCGAAACCTGAAAGCGTATGAAGGAACTGAAGAAGAGCTGATGATTTAGAAACATGAAGGCATATAGAGGAACTGAAGAAGAGCTGATGATTTAGAAACATGAAGGCGTATGAAGGAACTGAAGAAGAGCTGATGATTTAGAAACATGAAGGCGTATGAAGGAACTGAAGAAGAGCTGATGATTTAGAAAGATTCTTATCGATCCATTGATTTCCAAGAAACATCATATTTATATACTTGTCGATCAATCAGTGGAGCAGGAACCCTAGGTCTGTGTAGAAGGAAGAAATGGGAGCGGTAAAGGAACTCCTACAGTACAAAAATATCAACGAAATTTCCTTTTAAAGATTCTAAATATTCAAAACCCAAAAAATTGTATATTGTAAATCATAACTAGTTACTCAGTGACAATACTCTTCATGTATAAGCGATAGCTGACAATTTCAGGTTCGGTGATAGCCGCTCTCCCCTAACAAGAACAAGTACCTACGACACTGTCATCAATATAGTAATAATATGATTAACAAATCCGCGGTGCCACTCATCAAATCAGTATATGCATTAATTAACACTGTAAACAGGTTATGGATTAATAACCCCACACGTGCTTTAACTGATCTGATGAGTGGCACCGCCTTTAACTGATCTGATAAGTGGCACCGCGGAGTTATTAATCCATAACCTGTCTACAGTGTTAATCAATACATGTGCTTTAACTGATCTGATGAGTGACACCGCGGGGTTATTAATCCATAACCTGTTTACATTGTTAATCAATACACGTGTTTTAACTGATTTGATGAGTGGCACCGCGGGGTTATTAAGCTATACTTTGTCTACAGTGTTAATCAATACACGTGCTTTAACTGATCTGATGAGTGGCACCGCGGGGTTATTAAGCTATACCTTGTCTACAGTGTTAATCAATCACGTGTATTGATGAACACTGTAGACAAGGTATGGATTAATAACTCCGCGGTGCCACTCATCAAATCAGTTAAAGCACGTGTATTGATGAACACTGTAGACAAGGTATGGATTAAGAACTCCGCGGTGCCACTCATCAGATCAGTCAAAACACGTGTATTGATGAACACTATATTTATACATATATTTATATGTTATTGCATCATCAATTAGATACTTTGTGTCTGTGATAGTAATAAATTATATATGTAGGTGTCACCGATGATCTTATATTGTTAAGATGGTCCTCTCTCTATCTCTACAAGCTCGCCATCTGATGGTAGGATTTACCAATCAGCCTATTAAACCACACACTTTACGTTTAAACAAAGTTTACGTCACTTATAGCGAAGTACAATGATAGAGATTCTTCTTTTTCCATATTTCACGAGTTCATAATTAACGATCAGGAATATTTTTGTTCTTCTTGTTTTTGATGCAAGACTAAGTTGACAGATGAGATAATCTAATACTCTTCACGCTTCAGTGTGTAGTATTTTGTTACATAAGTTACCACATTTCATGGTAAGTGTTTTAAGAAATTTGTGAGACATAACTTGAATTTCTACGATGTGGAAATTTAATATAAGAGTTGTTATATCCGGGCACTTGGAAGTATTTGCCGTAGACAAACGCAGAAACATATTAAATATTATTCGTATGAGGTTGAATATTAGTTACTGAAGTTCATAAAATAGGCATACGAATCAACTCCTAAAATTTACGTGGTTTGTTATACCTTGTTAGACATACTGCTGGGTGTGAGTGAAACAAAGAGAGACATTTCCTCATGCGTTTTATTTAATATTTGTATATTTTTATACAGTAAACACTTGTATAGTATTTTACCTTAGTAATTTGACATTGTATTTCATCGTTATTTATACAGATAATGCCGTCTGCATTCGAAGTTCATATCTGGAACCTCTGGTCTTCCATATAAGGTTTACACCTGAACAACTCTGCTACTTCAGCCTGTGGAAAAATATGAATGTTTACATAAGAAACAAATACAGGTATCATAAAATATTCTCCAAACAATAGCAAGACTGTTGAGAGGGTGCTAATAAAACAATTCATAATATAGGATGTCCATAATATATTAAAATAAAGTTAATCCTATCCTACAGTTCTGATCTTGGAGCTCCATCAAGACTTTTTCTGGTTGAGTTAATATTTAAGTGTGATGGTAACTGATCTTGGCAAATCCTGATGTAAGTTATTGATTGAGTTAATATTTAAGTGTGGTGGTAACTGATCTTGGACTTACATCAGGATTTGTATTGATTGAGTTAATATTGACGTGGGATAATAACTAATTATGCAAGTTTCGTACACTTTCACTAAACATTCACGGATAGGATCTTATATATGTGTGAGAATCTCGCAAACTTCTTTATTCTGTTGTCGCATATCAATAGATCTGATTTCAAACGATCTGAAATAATAACAGACAGATGAATAGACAGTGAAAAAATATACACCACGTCACGAAGAAATAATTTCCCACCCATCAATTCACTGGACTGATCTTGATGATTTTTACTGAAGACGAATTCAATAATTCATTAGCAGAAAATAAGATGAATGGTAATTGTAGTAAAAAGCATTTCTGTGGAGCATAAAGAATCATTTCGGTCATGATTATTACCAATAACTCTCAGTTCAACTTACAGTCTTGTTGTTTTAAACTTTATTGAAAACACTTATGTTTCAGGTACTTACCTGCAAAAGATGGTGAATTTTAATGAGCGATTGAAGACTTCTTGAAGAACAATCTTCAGATCTCTTTCCTGCCTGCCAGCTTTTCGAGAAGGTGATTTGTCCCTCAACACCATTGGCTAGAAATGCACCAATCAAAATGCCGAGAAAAAGCAAGTAGATTCGACGAGTTTGACGTTCCATTTCTAGGCGGCCTTAGTGGATATAAATTAAATTTGTTCTTCAACGTGAAGATTAATTAACATAAAATTAATAATTACATATGTGACTACACCCTTTTAATAACCACACATAGAGAGAGATTGAACTTCTAACAGACCATAAGTTAGAAGTTTTACCTGATAGCTAGAGAGAAGGACCCAATATCTGATTGCCAGAGAGACATAATCTCTAACTGACCATAGGCTATAGAGAAGCACTCAGTGTCTATCTGACCAGAAGACAGAGAAAGATTAAACCTCTATTTGACCATACAGAGAAAGGTTTAACCTCTAGCTGACCATAGGGTATAGAGAAACACGTAATCTTTATATGACCAGAGGACAGAGAAGGATTAAACCTCTATTTGACCAGAGGACAGAAGAATATGACCCTTTAACTGAGCAGAAGATAAAGACAAATACAACATCAGACTGACCAGAAGAAAGAAAAAAAAGTTCAATTTCTAATTAATTACCAAATAAAAAACTCAAATATAATCGCTAGATATTCTAAGTCATTTCAATAAGCCGTGTAAAAAGTAGGCAGTTAATTTAATAGATATTTAATTAACTTTATAAGTTTATTGATGTTAAAATATTGTAACACGAGTCGATAGGACAAACAGTTGCATCATTGACCATTGGTCAAAACTTTCTCAATAGAGCAACAACCGTAATTGTGCTACAGAAATAACAAACATTATCAGCACGTACCTTTAGGTGTAAATATCGTAAGCTCGATTTTCTTGTCGTAAGTAAACCTGACCAACAGTTTGCATGTATTTATATCGGAACTGACCATACTGCGCATGAGCACTACAAACAACTCTTTCACTCGAACTTTAATTATATTCTGACTGACTTGTTTTTATTACTAGCAAGCCGAAACCTTCGCCTACGTCGGAGATAAACCATTTGTGTAGTGAAACATTCATGAAACTTTTATTTTTAGAAAGGAAAAAAAATTGTTTTGTCTCGTATCTGCAAACTATCTGTAAACTATCTAGCACTAGTTTGTATCTGTAAACTATCTGTAAACTATCTAGCACTAGTTTGTATCTGCAAACTATCTGTCAACTATCTAGCACTAGTTTGTATCTGTAAACTATCAAGCACTAGTTTATATCTGCAAACTATCTGTAAACTATCAAGCACTAGTTTGTATCTGCAAACTATCTGTCAACTATCTAGCACTAGTTTGTATCTGTAAACTATCAAGCACTAGTTTATATCTGCAAACTATCTGTAAACTATCAAGCACTATTTTGTATCTGTAAACTATCTAGCACTAGTTTGTATCTGCAAACTATCTGTCAACTATCTAGCACTAGTTTGTATCTGTAAACT